TCACATTCCACAAAAGTTCATTATTCCAAACCCATATTAAATGATCTCTTCAAATAAAATATTCTGTACTACGTTTGAAAATGCATGATAGTGTTTTTGTAGCAGAAAATTACAACGGTCTCGATACAGAACTGTTCAAAGCAGAAAAATTATAATTATCGATACCTACTTGTCAAAGTTATATGTGATGTCTTCTCTCTCTGATGTCTTTCCCAGAGCTTCCGGGGTCTCAGTCTCCCGAGCCCCCAGTTACTACTACACTTGTCACTGTTTACTTTACTGTCACAACTACACTGTACTTTGACATACATTGACACCTTGAATTTACGATTCACCCTTGAACAACACTATTTTTTTGCTTTTTACGTAGAAAAACGACGGTTAAATGAAAGTAAAAGATTGCATTTCATTTCGAATTTCACCATTACTCTACACATGTTTCAAGCTACTCAACTCCTCATCAGGAACACGGTATGCTAGCAGCTTCATCTATATGAAGTAACAAAAAGTCGAGAGACCTCTCTTTGATAGAATATGTACATGTATATATATATATATATATATATATATATATATATATATACATAGATCTATATATCTATATATATATATATATATATATATATATATATATACTATATATAATCATTATTATCGTCATCATTCGCAGCGTTACAGGAAAATCAACTTATTGACCCACAGATCCAAATAAAACACCAGATCTTTTAGATTTATGTGTTAAAAGTATACCTCTTAACTACCCCGCAATAAAATCATGTTGGGAGGTTTTGTCAGATCGTTCTTCCATTCTAATTGACCTAGACTCCAAAATCATACTCAGAAGTAAGCCTCCAGTCCTAACCAATAACCAAACAAACTGGAACCTATTTCGAAGTGCAGTTACAGAACAAATATCAATGAACTTGCCACTTCAAACAGAAATACAAATTATAAACGCTATACAATATTTTACTACTATACAGACAATATGGAAGGAAACCATAAATAGTTCTCTGAGTGAAAAAAACTTGACTAAAGAGAAAAAAAACTTAGGAGAAAATGGCAAAATACACACGCCTCTCTTTACAAAACACACGTAAACAGAATTACCAGAAGACTTAAAAATCTGTTAAAAAAAGAAGAAAAATAAGGGAATCCAGATTTCTCTAGAAAATCTGACGCCGTTCAAAGTATTCTTAATGGAAAGCGACGAAAAAAGTAAAAGTATAGTAAAAAACATCTTTTGAAAGTATTTAGTCAATTTGTTAGAGTAGTGGCTGTAGAACAAGAAGAACTACATTATTATATCCCAATTTAACATAAAGCAGTAGAACATATAATAAAAATGAAATAAAACCCAGTAAGTCTCCGGGATACGGCCCCCTTACCGGCAAGGTAGTTTAAGAAGTAACCCATGATTGCTACAGAATAATCACTATGATCTGCAATGTTATTTTAAGTTTGCACTAGTTCGCGTTGCAATGGAAAGTGCCTTAGATTATATTCATTCGCAAACCTGCTAAAGATCCAAAAGATGTAAACACGTAGGATGGCTCTGTAGGATGAAAGATCAAGGCTTGAATGAAGATGAACACGACACGCCATTAGCTATTTGGTCCAGTCAGTTAAACTTTCTACCACCTACGGACCGGAAGAACAGATTTCGAAGATAGTTGATAAAAATGTAGCTACAACATCTTTCTTTCTCACGGGGAAAAAGAAAAAGAAAACGGTGACCCGGAAATGAAAGCATAGCCAGAACCAGCTCCAATCCTTCAGTAGACATTAGATGCGGTAAAATTAATTCCTCCGTTTTCCATCCACCAGGAAGACGATATGAGTGCTGTGGAAGATTCTATGCGTCTTTGATTCACGATGATGTACGCGTCAATGTAGGCTAATTTGAAAATATGTACATTAAAAATTTAAGAGTTATTTGTTATTTACTTATAAAGTGTTTTGGCAACATGTAATCAACAATTGTAGTTTTAATATATTTTATATTTTTGGTTTTATTCGCTTAATTTTTTGTTCATAATGTAGCATTTTCGTTTTACCCCGTATGTCAAAAAGACCAAAAAAGATTATTTTTGCATTCCTGAGATTTTATAATAAAAATACGGGTGTGGTAGTCCAGTGGGATTGCCGGTAGAAGTTATACTTCTATACACGCGTTCGCCGTTACATGTTCATGCAACCCTTGCTTTTGAATGAGAGCCAAATCAATATCGTAAATTCCGTGAAATTTCTAGGTATTCTCATTGACAGTGATCTTAAATGGTCCTTGCATACTGCCTCCTTAAGGAAGAAACTAGCCTCAGCTTGCTTTGCAATAAGATCTGTTTCGAAGGAACTAAATTTATCTTCTGCCAAAATGGCATATTTCTCATTGTTCGAGTCCCATCTTCGATATGGGCTTCCATTTTGGGGTTCTAGTACAGCGACCCAATTTGATACTATTTTTAAGTTGCAAAAAAGAGCAATACGTTATCTATTTGGTCTCAAACAAACAACTCATTGCAAGACCTACTTCAAAAATCAAGGAATTTTGACGCTTCCCTCTTTATTTATTTTGGAAACGGTTTGTTTGATTCGAAAGCATCTAAACATTTTTCCCGATAGACCTGACCATGGCTACTCCATTAGAAATTCGGATTGTAACGTTTACTTGCCGATCCCGTCCACTCAGCTAGTAAAGAATTCTATTCTATACCTATCGTGCAAAGAAACTTTATAATCACCTTCCAAGAGAAATTAAATCCGCAACATCCTTCATTAAGTTTCGTAATGTGACAAAAATCTATCTCTCAGAAAGACCATATTATTCAGTTGACGAGTTTCTTAATGTATAACAAAGAAACAAAATTAGTATTGTTTATAATTACATTTGGGTGTCTCAAGCAGTTTCTACAATTTGTCTTCTTTGTTGTTGTCTGTACAAAATTATGTAGGTTATACAATAATTTTACTAATTTAAAATTGTGTTATTCTATTTTTTACTATATTTGTTTTTGTTTTATACTTTTTGTACTATTTGACTGATTTATTTTTTAAATTTGTCCATAAAATTGTTCAATAATTTTCAGTGACAATAAAGCATATTTCTATTCTATTCTATTCTACAAATTTATATGGGAGTCAATTTGCACAATCATTACATATTTAATGCTCTAGGTAAGAGAGAGCAGAAAGAGAAAAATAATTAGGTGTATAGGTATATGGTGCATCGTTTACTGTATATAAACATTTGAGCTGTAATGTATAGTAAATGAAGGATTGAATCAATATTTTAATAAAAACATATATTTTTATTTTCATATATGTATAAAAGGAGTTGAATGCAAAAAAATTTTTACACATACATTTTTTTAGACATAAATATTAAATATATTTACAAAAGGAACATTTTTATTCTCGAGAGAGAAAGAGAGAGAAAATATATCTTCTGTTTCTCTCTTAACTATATCGTACATATGTAATGATTTTGCCGATTTACTCAATATATACGAATACACACAAATTTCTAACGTCGAACGCGCGTATAGACGTATAACTTTAAAAAATGTTTGTGAAAGATACAAGTAAAAAACCAGCAACTCGGACTATGTTGTATATTTTCATTTAATTTTAAAATTTAGCATTTTTGGGTATATTACATATTTTTAACGTCGGGTTTTTAAATATATCAAAAATAAAAAAGGAAATTCATATTAGGATTCGAACTCACATATACCAGCGTATAAACCAAACACGTAAGACATTTGCCAATTAGACATGACACTAACGAATTTCAAAATTGACAGTTCTCGGTCATACAGTGATCTATTGTAATTATTATTTTGAAATACAAAAGCCTAAAATAATTATAAACATTTAATAAATAATACATAACATATCAGATAAATAATAATAATATATATTTATATAAATATTATTATTTATATATATATATATATATATATATATATATAATATTTAATATATAAATATATATATATATATATATATATATATATATATAATATTTATATATAAATAATATATATATATATATATATATATATATATATATATATATATATATGTATATATATATATACAAAAGAAACATTTTTAGTCTCGAAAGAAAAAGAGATAGAAAATATATCTTCTGTCTCTCTCTTACTCATACATATGTAAGGATTTCACCGATTCACTCTCGTGCAAAAAGTGTAACTTCAAAAAACTTAACCCTTTGCAGTCGAACGTGATGACGAATAAAGTGACGTACAAGTTGTTGTCATCTTTTATATGCCTACCAAATTATGTGTCACATGAAAGGGCACTGAGGTTGTTATGGTCGTTTAATCAATCTAATATCTCTGACAAGGTTATGTAATATAGCTCTAGCTTTTTATCTATTTATTTTAAAGTACACTTATATTTAGTAGAAATGAACAAAACAGGTTAAACAATCTACAGTTGAATTTAATATTGAATGACGTGTTAATTAAACTCTCATATTTTAAATGCACGATAAAATTAAACTAAAGTTGAACTTTATTACAGATTAGTGTATAATATATTCTTAACAAAAAGTATCAAATAATTTTTCAGTTATGGTCTTGGAATGTATGATATTTTTAAAACAACTGCCGGGGTGTAAAGCAAGACATCCTGGGCACATCTTGCAGAAGCAGTGAACAAATGTGAAAGTAGTTATAAGTTCGAAATGTTTCTAATTTCCCTTTGTACGATTCTGCTCGATCGACGATGATAGAATAAAATGTTGAAGTCGTGAAGTGAAATATAATTTTTTGGACAGCTACTGAATGATTACAATAAAACAGTTTGACATTGATAAAAACAATTAAATGTCCGTATCAAACATATCCAGATTTTTGCAACATTCTAATAAATTCCTCACAGCATCTAAAAAAGCCAGTGTCAAGTCCATTATTATGACAGATAGGATATTGTAAATGCAAACAATTATTTGTACAAATAAAAAACAAGAATATAGAAACAAAAATTTTTAATCGTAAAAATTTAGAATTAATATGTATATGTAAATATATAAATAAAATCATGTACAAATGAGAGTTAATATATCCACAGAAATGCTTTAGTTTATCACAATTTTCTTTATGATACAAAATTGAGCACTATGATTAAAGTTGTGTATTTTCGACATATTTTCACAAATTCCTAGTCAGTACTAATAATTTAACTTTACAAGTTTAATACTTCGTGATTAAAAAATTATAAATACGGCTAAACGTTCCGAATGAAGGTAGCTACAAATGAAGTAAATTTTGTATTTGGCAGTTTTCATGTCCTTATAATAAATTACGAAAGAGTATGCGACATAATATTAATTTAATTAAACATGAAAATAAAATGATAAAGTAACGAGAAAAATAGTTTATGTTTTATTTCACTATAAATACTAAAGTTAGAAAGTGAAAAATAAAGTAAGTTCTGCTGTAGAGATTTTAATATATATTTTTACTTTGTTATTATCGTCTTTCCTATTTTCATTAAGTCTAAGGTCTCTTCATTCGTTGGAGTATTCTTTCGTGCATAGTAGATTGTAAGCTATCTCTTCAGTTTTTGGGAAGTATTTCTAACGGCAATGGCTAGAGTCAGTTTGTCTTCAAAAATTCTTCTTTTTCTTCCTTTTTTACTGTAGACATGACTGTCTGTTTTTCAGTGTGCTTCCAGTAAGTTGTCGTTCCATCATTTTTTTGGTCTTCCTACTAATTGTCTTCTTTTTTTAACTACTCTATTTATTGTCATTAGACTTATATAATCGTTTGATTCTATTCTTCTATTTTTTATCTAGTCTTTGATGTTCTCCATCTGATCTATTCAAGACTTATTTGGGCGTATTGCTTTATTTGTCTCTTATTATTTTCCCTGTTTTCTGCAGCATTAAGTGGTATAGTGCCATGTATATCAACTAGAGTTGAACTCATATTACACTCATTAATTAGATACTTTAGCACTTTTATAGAGTTTTTACAAGAAGCTATGTATATAACACTTTCACACTTTATATCTAATTTTGTGTACTGCAACCTCCATCGTCGCGCGGAGTATGTCCATTGTCATCCTCATCATGTTAATACCTTTACGTTTAATATGTTTAATTTTATTTGCAATATTAAATAAATGTGCGTATGCAGGTTCTGAGTGTAAGTATTCAATTATTTTTGTAGCATTTGCGACCTCTGCCATGTAAAGCACAGTATCGCCGTCATTGTTGCAATAATTTACATCTATTTTCTCGGATTGAAGCAGGTACTTGAATGCTTCCAGTGCGTCATTGGAAGCCGCATAATGAAGAGGTGTATTGCCAAATTCATCCACTACCTGTGGACTTAGTTTATAGTCATCTATAAGAAACTGAAGCACTTTCATAGAATTTTCATACGCAGCCGTATGAACTACCAACGCACCACCTTCGTTGCGTTGATTAACATCAAATTTGGCATGAATTAATAAATACTTGAAAGATTCTAATGCATCATTTGAAGCTGCTGAATGCAAAGGTGTATTTCCATAATCATCAACTAGATTTAGCTTTGTTTCTGAACTAGTATTTCTATTAAGTCTAGTAGTTAAATATTTAATTACATCTATTGCATTGTAAAAAGCTGACCTGTGTAATAAACTAACACCTCTTTCATTTTTAGCAAATAAGTTTGCATTGTTGTTTTCTAAAATTATTAGAGCATTAAGCGAATTGTTTTTTGCTGCATCGTGGGCAGGAGTATAACCATAGTTGTTAGGAACATCACAAGATAATTTACAGGTGAATATTAAAAATGTTAAAGATTCTGCAGCATTTCCCCACGCTGCGCTGTGGATAATTGTATCACCATCGTTATTTTTTTGTTTAAAGAGATGTTTACAGTCATCTCGTGAATATAGATACTGGATAATTTTTAAAGCATTTCCACATGCTGCTCTGTGTAGAACAGTGTCACCTTTGTTATTGCAGTCGTTAACGTCCAATTGCGTAGTCTCTAATAAATATTTGAAAGCTTCCAAGGAATTATTGAAAGCTGCGTCATGAAGAGGTGTATATCCGTATTTGTCAACTAGGTTTGGATTTAGTTTATATGTATTAATTAGACAAGTTAATATATTCATAGCATTTTCTGCAACAGCTTTGTGTATAAGACTTTCTCCGGCTGTATTTACAGTACTTAAATTCAAATATTTATTTTTCACTAATATGCTTTCATTTTGTTGATCCAAATCATTTAATATTTTTACTGTTTTTGGTGGTTTATTCGAAGCCACAAGTGAGGAACGATTTACACACAGTAATTCGCTCTGTTCGAAATATTCTAGTATATCAAGAAAGTCAAACTGGCAAGTATAATGAAGCGGTGAATTTCCATTTCTGTTAACAGCCGTATATTCTAGTTTATATTTTTCTATGAGTGTTTTAAGTAAAGTAAGAAAACCTGCTTGTGCAGCCCAATGAACAAATGTATCTTCATCTTCATCTTTAATGCTTAAATGCAATCCATGATCTTTTAGATAGTCAATCAAATCCAGAATAACGTCATATTCTACTTTGGGCCGAATACCGTTTTTCTGATCTCTTCGTATAAGTTTCAAATACTCCTCAAAAAACGTTATTGTTTTAATATTCTCCCGATATTTTATTTTCTCAAAGATCATATTAAAATATATTTTGTATTTGTCAGAGTCACAGCACATCATTATGATGTAATGAAATACGGCATGTCCATTCTCATCAACGCTGTTTATTTCAGCACCTTTTTTTACCAAGTACTTGACAAAATGTGGATAGTGAGCAGATAGGTGCAATGCAGTTTCACCAGAAGAACCCCTATGATTAATAACTTTGGAAAAATCATCATATTCGTGAAATACAAATTTGACAATACTAAAATAGCCTTGAAATACTAAAAGTGATATACTTTCTACCCATCTTTGTTCACTAAGTAACCGACCAAACTCTTTACTAATCTTACGTAAACAAATATCACCGACTGATATTTTGCTGTTCAGAATTTCTTCAAAGAATCCAGAAACACCAGTGTACTGAATATTAAGAAAAAGTTTGTTAAGAAGAGTTAAGAGTATAGAGTCGCTTATACGTTTATGGCTGAGAAATTTCCAAATATATTCGGCAGCGAAGTATTCTTCGAAACTTTTGTGAATGAATTTAAATTCTCCGTTATTTTCTTCAAATATCCCAATTGAAAGCATCGATGTAGTTACAGAAGCGGATATATCAGTATTGAAACATTCTTGTAATTCTCGTGGAAGGCTCTTACTTGCAGCAAACTTCCTTGTTTTCGTTAAGTAAGTATCAAATGCATCTGTTACTACAATACTATTTTTGTCACAACTTTCATCTTGATGTTGTTGAATAAATGTTTTCTTCTTCTCTTCTAAAAAAAGATTATAAAATTCATACACACTTAACGATTTAGAAAATATTTTCGATATATATTCTACATGGTCCTCGTTATTTAGTAATATGTCGATCAATAATCTTAACGCAAATGGAGTTGAACAAAATTTGTTAATTCCAGGTGCTTGTGCTTTTAAATGGTGAAACAGATCTCTTGTTTTCTGTACGTTAGTTGCATTTTTAAATGTTAAGTACTTTCCAAAAAAAATTTCTTGGTCATTTTCATTAAACGGCTCTACCACAATTGTTTCTGCGTTAGGTCTATTTCGAATTTTTTTTAAGATAAAATCATAATCTCTGCAAGCCATTATAACTAATAAAATATTCAGATTCTCCGACTTTGAGCAATGTTCAAGCAAATCTTGCACTTGATGAATGTACTCTGAATTATTTTCGTCTATTCCATCGATTACTATAATCTTCTCTATCGATTTTAAAGCCTGAATATTGAAATTACCTCTAATATCTTCACAATAGATTAAAAAATCTAGAAGACTGTGATTAAAACTTTTATTTCGTAGATATTCTGCAGATCTTGATAATTCTATATTTATTATCCACGTCAGTCGGGAACAATTCTTATCTTTCAATTTTCTCGATAATATTATATTTTCTAAAAGAGTAGTTTTGCCAGCACCTAGGGGGCCAGTAAGTACAGCTATTTTTTTATTAGATATTTTTAGTTGATCAAGTAAGAGTTCTTCAGAAAATAAATTCTGAAAATCCCTACTTAAGAATCGAGGCACATAATATTTTTCTGATGTTATTGACGGTATTGAAGATTTTCCTAAAGTCAAAGGTTCGTCTTTAATCAATTGTAAAATAAATAATTCTTCAATCAGATATTCTATCTTACAAATTGTTACTATATCATCTAGTATAATCTGCTGACCTTGGAATTCTATTATTGTTGGACTTTCCAAGTCTGAGTCATCATACGATAACTTATTTTTTATAGATTCTACTAGTTCTTTGTACGAATCTTCGTTTAAATCAAATGGTCCTCCTGTAGATTTTACTAAGGAACAAATATAAGACTTATCCGTTATATCTAAGGACTCACAATTATTCATTAAATTTAACACCTTACAATTATTTAACAGATGTTTTAACGTTATAACTTCACCTTGAAATTCAATAGTCCTGTTACAAACTCTTTCTCGTGTGTCTTCATCGAATAGATTTAAGCGGATTTGATAGTTTTCGACATTTTTATCTTGAAATCCGAAATTTTTTGACACAATGATAACCTTCTTTTGTTTGCTAGTCTCTAATGTTCTCGATATTTTTCTATATATTTCTTTACTTTGATTCTCGTCCATTTCCAAAAAGGAAACAACTAAATATTTAACGTTTTTTATTTCAAACCATTCCACAGCATTTTCAATCGTTTTGTAATCTGTCTGTAATGCCAGAAATAGTACTTCTTTGAAAAACATTTCATCGGGTTTGTCTAGCTTTGTATAAATCAATTTTATACTGTTAACTATTTTGGCTAAATATAAATCCAAATTGTGTTCAGCTTTGATTAAATTAATAGAATGTGAAAATTGATAGGGATTTAAAAAAGAGATTTCGTAATTTAAAAACTGTTGAATACATCTATCATTTTCTTCTCTATACCATACAAATCTCATATAATTGTTCGTCATGTAAACGGAATTTTTAGAGCCCAAGTTGCGCCAGTAGTGAATATCATTTATTATATACAAATTTTTTAACGAAGGATTTTTTTTCTCCATGCTCGTAATAAGATCAGAAATTCGTTTATCAATTTGTTCTTTACTTACTTTGATGACAAGAAATTTGGACATAAACTCTTCAAGATCATTATCATTTAAAGATATATTTCGCCATGCAAGTTTGTCTTTATCGTCGTCGCTAATATTTTGTTGATAAGTTTTAACTTCGTCAAATTTTTTGCGAAATTCTATTTTAATAGTACCTATTGTTACTTGGTTTTCAAATATTTTATTTATTATATTATTTTCAGAAGTCCTTTGAGAATTAAATATGCTATCTGGTAAATTGGCATTGGTACATAATATTATAGCATTCGTCTTGTGCTCTTTAAACTTCCATTTTATATCATTATATGATAGAATATACTTATAAATACTAAAATTATCAGATTTTGGCTTAGTTGACCGGAAGTCTCGAACAGAGACTTGTTTGTTTTCTTTAAATTTTGCCTGTAGTAACAAGCACTCATTATCAGCTTTAAATACCAAATCATCGAATTTTCCAGCGTCGATATATTCATTTGCTAAGCTCCAGTTCTCAAAATATTTAAATGCAGCTACTGCAAATAGGCAATGGAGTTTCCATTCATAGTCAGTACCTAGATTTGCAACTGGGCCTTTAGGATATTCTCCCATCGCTTTTTGTGTTGGTACATTTCGAGTCTGCTTTGTCTGAAACAGATAAAAGTATAAATGAAACACAATGTTGGACAACTAGTACAAAAATATAATAAAAGAAAAACTTAATTTTACGTATATTAAACAACATTATAATAAGTTGTAAGAAAAACAAAAATGAATACAAAAAGAAATCAAATCTCATGAATATTTTTAATAAGGTTAAGTTAGATTATGTTTGGGTTCAAATTATAATTCAAAGATATTTGATTTAAATTTATACTACTAAACATTTATTTTAAGAATTTTGTCCGATGAGTGACAATTCTACTTGAGGCACATAAATTTAAAGTTACATCTCCGTTCGAATTTTTATACAAAGACGTATGTTAATTCAGCACCTAGAGAATTGCATTTAGTTTCACCGATAAGCACCTAAACATTCCGTATATGTATTTATCATCTAGGTCAGGGCTTTCCAAGCTTATTCGTACTGTGACGCTCTTGGAACTTTGCTATTTTTTGCGACGCCCCTCAACCCAATAACCAAATTTATTTACCAATTTTAGTACTAGCCTAGTAACAGGTTGTAGTTATAACAAAAACACCATTTGAACATTTATAATTTTTATTAAAAATTAAGAACGAAATGAAAACATAAGCACAAAAATAGAAAGGGATATTTATTTATGTAATTGGCTGGTTAATGTAAGGGACGTGCTTGCTTTTCTGAGCACAGCTTATGAAACCGGGGCTCCAGTTTGGAAATTCCCACTCTCATTTCTTTTAGAAGTTTGTGTTTGACCTGTACTTTTTTTTAATTACTGCAACTGCAGAAAAGCCCGTTTCGCACAAATACGAAGTCGCAAATGGTAATAAAACCTTTTATGCAGCTGTGCTGATGGCATGATATTCATGAGAAACTGAGCTCCAAAATTTAAACAGTTTGTCCTTGTCATATTTAAGCTTTAGGCTGGAATCACAGGACAATTCTATCAGTTGTTCTTCTTCTTCTGTTGAAAGTGCCAATGGTGTGGATGACTGGAAAGGGTTTCTGATCCAGTTATACTGCTCCAGATCTTCGGGAAAATATTTCTCAAAGTGATCGCCCAATAATAGCATGTGTTGCGTAAACATCTTTTTAAAGAGGAATCGAGGATTTCTATTGAAAAGTCTTGATTTCACGGGTTGTGTTTTAATGTAGTTCACCACTTTAATAATGATATCCATCACAACACTTAAGTCAGGTGAAATGTTCTTTGCTATCTCTGTATGACACAATGTGTCCATTTTACACTTGGAGCCTTGGTTTTAATGAAAGTGCACCATCCGTACACACGTCTACACAGTTATCCCAGTTAATAGTGTTTTCAACCATATATGAGTTTAAAAATCGAATAAATCAGTAGTTTTGCAACTTTCTCTTATTTTTCTGCAAAATACCAAATCCTCACATATATTTCTTTCTTGTATGTACCTTACATAGCATATTCATTGCTGTCAGTCGCCTCGTCCGGTTGAATGGCAAATAAACCTGAAAGTTTCCCCACAATTTGCTCATTAATATCTTCTGCCATGTGGTGAATACGGCGACTAACCGTATTGTGTGAAAGAGGTACATTTTTTATTTCATTAGATGCCGATTCTCCTTATTCTTCTTATATATAATAATCAAATAAATATATTTTCTGTATTAAAAAACTGCGCTGATGCGCGACGCTCCAGGGCTTCGCGACGCACAGTTAGGGAAGCCCTGATCTAGGTCATTTCTATTGGTTCTTCGCGGCACGCGGCCATGTTTCAACTAATAGGCGGAGAGGCGACAAACACGTTTATTTATAGAATGTTACTTTGGTGCGCATTCGTACTCCGACTGTTGTCTAGTAAAGTCGTCTATCATACGCTATACAAAGTGACATCGGTGTTTGTAGGTTATTTGGTTCACATTATTAGTTATAAGTATATTAAGTTTGTGTTTAAAAGGAAAACTACTGTAAGTAAATTTTGATTTTTTGAATATTTCTGCCCCGGACCAATGTCCGGGGAAAACAACGCATCCACCAGCGGCAAGGGGCCGCCGAATGGTAAATTCAATAAAGATAGTCGAGTTAACGTTCTTGTTGAGGATATCATTGTACCTGAAGATATTGATATGAGTTCATGTATAAACAATAAAAATAATAATCAATTAAATGAATTATCTAGTACAGATACACTCGACAAAAACTTGGCCGTGCCAAGAGGAGTTTTCCTATGGACTTATAGTGCTGTAAAGATAAGTTGTTTGACTGTGTAATTTTTTTGTTACTGTCTATTTTGTTAACTTTTCATATGCATATGATCAAGTGACTACATTTTGATAAAATATAATTTTGATATTATTGGGAGAGGGAAAATACCTTTCATGTTTTATGAGGTTTTATTTTAATTAGGATTTCAAGAGTACTGACCAAACTCACTTTTGCTATAATATATTTTTTTAATACAATATATTTGATATAATACAATTTTGATATTGGGGGAGGGAAATAAATTTCATGTGGTTTTTTTTAAACATTATATAAGAAGTATTGAAGATTCACTTTTGAATGTAATATATTTAAGTAATAGAATTGTAACAGATTTATCACTTTTGATATCTTTACAATATTGTCATTAGTATCTCATTTTAGTAGAACTATTTAAATTTAAATTACTAACCTTTATTGTTAAGACCTTGGCTACCATACGGACTATTCTTGGTGTTACTAATATTTTTATACTTTATTTGGCCAGTGGTAGTGATTATTCGCTTGTTAAGGGGCTATTAAGTCCTATTGTATATTTACACCATCCACTACCACTGTTATTTAGTTTTGCCTTATATGTAAATTGTTAATACATATATATCGATATACACATTTTATAGTAGTTTTTGATTAACGATGATGTAGGCATCAATGTAGGCTTAACGATGTGCTAAAAAGCAAAACGCGTTAAGTCCAAAGACGTGACTTTTGAGAGTAGGGCAAAGGACCAGAACTGGTCACTTCCTTTAACGATAATTTAATTTCAAACCAATTAAAATATGTTTAGATGTTTGCTCCCAACAAAATTTTAAGGGGCTCAATTATTATTTGAAAATGAAATAAAAATTTAAGATTTATTTGTTATTTGCTTATAAAGTGTGTTGGCAACATTTAATCAACAATTGTAATTTCAAAAAAAAATCCACTAGGAAACTAAGTTCCTGTAGCTGGCTGTATACCATATACCACAAAAAATTTATTTCAAATCCTTTATAAAAGGTATATAAGAAAATATCACAATTACATTACAGAACGTTTTCGGATTGTTAAATCCATCATCAGTGTAAACGAGGTATACATGCTATGAGCCACCAAAATATATGGGTCAAAACCCTTAAAATGTTATAAATTTACAGTTGTTTTACATTATATACAGGGTGTCCCAGACTAATTTATCCACGCTATATCTCTTAAACGAATGGAGATTTTCGAATGGGACAAAAAGTGGTCTATTCTATTTGTAGTACACTTTAATATGGCGTAGAAAAAAATCATCTCCTAAATATTCATCCCTTAGTTACAACTCCTAACTTTAATTTTGTTAATAGCACCCTGTATATTTTTTTATAGTTTTGGATGTGGTCTTCTATCGTCTATTGAACAGATTTATTAAAAATAAAATCGGTTTGTAAATAATCAAGAAATCAATTAATTTTTTATTTTTGTTAATCAAGTGTCCCAGACTAATTTATCCAGGCTATATTTATTAACAAAATGGAGATTTTATAAAGGGTCAAAAACTCGTCTATTCCATTTGTAATACACTTTAATATAGCGAAGAAAAAATCATCCCCTAAATATTCATCCCTTAGTTACAACCAATAACTTTAATTTTTTTAATAGCACCCTGTATATTTTTTATAGTTTTGGATATGGTCTTCTATCGTCTATTCAACAGATTTATTAAAAATAAAATCGTTTTGTAAATAATCAAGAAATCAATTAATTTTTTTTATTTTTGTTAATTAAGTGTCCCAGACTAAATTGTCCAGGCTATATTTCTCAACAAAATACGAGATTTTTTAAAGGAACAAAAACTGGTATATTCCATTTGTAATACATTTTAACACAGCGAAGAAAAAATCATCCCCTAAATATTCATCAATTAGTTACAACCCCTAACTTAAATTTTTTAATGGCACCCTGTACATTGTTTATAGTTTTATATGTGGTCTTCTATATTCTGTTTAATCGATTTTTTAAAAATAAAATGGGTTGTAAAAAGGTATCAAGAAAATATCAGTTTATTTTTTATTTTTGTTAAATTAATCAAGATAGCCTTAAAAAATAGAATAGAAAAGAAATATTAGTAGTATAACTTCTTACACACCCTTTTTATTTAAATATTATTTTTAATTTTTCAAAATTTGGTCTTTGTAGGAGCATACGTTATCTTCCAGTGTGGTTGATGTTATGTTCCGTTGATTAATTTAACAAAAATAAAAAATAAACTAATATTTTCTTGATACCTTACAAACCCATTTTATTTTAAAAAAAATCGGTTAAATAGACGATAGAAGACCACATCCAAAACTAGAAAAAAATGTACAGGGTGCTATTAAAAAAAATAAGTTAGGGGTTGTAACTAAGGGATGAATATTTAGAGGATAATTTTTTCTTCGCTATATTAAAGTGTATTACAAATTAAATAGACCAGTTTTCGACCCTTTAAAAAATCTCTATTTTGTAAATTAATATAACCTGGATAAATAAAATTAGTCTGGGACACTTAATTAACAAAAATAAAAAATTAATTGATTTCTTGATTATTTATAAACCGATTTTATTTTTAATAAATCTGTTGAATAGACGATAGAAGATCACATCCAAAACTATAAAAAAATATACAGGGTGCTATTAAAAAAATTAAAGTTAGGGGTTGTAACTAAGGGATGAATATTTAGGGGATGATTTTTTCTTCGCTATATTAAAGTGTATTACAAATGGAATATACCAGTTTTCGACCCTTTAAAAAATCTCTATTTT